AGATAATATACTGATTTCTTTTAGAAATAGAGAGTAATGGTACTATTTAATTTGATTTAAATATATTGGAGGTTTGGCGTATCGATCGCCGAGGCAGTATTTTGTAAACTGCGAACAACCCGATATAGATATAAAAACTTATTAATTACCAAACCAAACTAGAACGATCTGTCTTTCCGTAAAAATAAATGTTTTAATAAAAAAAATTGATGAACATGATATATATAAACATTATAACAACCCTTGCAAAAGATAAATGTACCTCATGCAATGGGGATTTTCTTTGATTTTATATGACTCATATAATATGACTACCATTATTTACATGTTTAATACCGCTATACCTAAGTGCTACAAATGCTTTAGTTGAAGGGTTTTAGTAAATATTGTATAATACATCTAAAAAATAGTAAAATTATAAAAAAAATATACATCATTACAAACTAACACACACCAGTGCATAAAGTTTCCATTAGAAGAATGATCACATTGTGGTCATGTTTTGTAAAACTTTACACATATATATGTTAGTAGTATATAACGGGCTTATTTTCATTTATAGATTTGTGGACCACAAATCTATCTATGAAAATAAGCAGGTTATATACTACTAACATATATATGTGTAAAGTTTTACAAAACTTGTAGCTTATAAAGTCTATAAGAAAACAGTATTTTAAGTTTACAAACAATATATAAGATTCGTACAAGACTTTACATTGTTTTTTATTCCTAAGCAAGTAGTTTATTAGCACTTCTCCCCTTTTTTAGTACTTCTCCCCGTTTTTAGTACTTCTCCCCGTTTTTAGGACTTCTCCCTTTTTTTAGTATTTCTCCCCTTTTTTTAGTACTTCTCCCCTTTTTTAGTACTTCTCCTCTTTTTTAGTAATTCTTCCCTTTTTTAGTACTTCTCCCCTTTTTTTATATTTTGTAATGAGCTTCTTCTGATGGTTGGTTTGTTTTAGGGTTTTCTTTTTTTCTGACAAACAATTTTCATTTCTGATCAGTCAAGATCTTTGTTTTTAGTTGCCTAATTTAAATGCCAGCTACTTGAAATCCTCTCTGCATATTAGAGGACGAGAAAGCTTTTGTATATGGTTCACAAACAATATTGTAAATGGTCATAGGTTTTGGAAATGGTCATAGGTCTTGTGACCATCCATTTGTCACATGCAGCATTATAAAACCTTTTTAATGGTCTAAAAACAGTTCTATCCAATGGTTGCAATTTATGGAAGCAATGGGGAGGAAAACTTATCATTGTAATTCCTTGTTGAATTGCAAGATCCAAAGCTCTATCAGAAATATAACTTTTATGACTGTTCAGAAGTAACAAAACTGGAAGTTCATGAGAACAGTTTGAATACCTTTAAAAAATGTTTTATCCATTTTATAAAAATGTTCGAATTCATCCAACCAGAAGAATTTGCAAATCCCACGCATCCAGGACGACCTTTATCATGTAATCATACAATTTGGCCCTAGAAAAAACAAGTAGTGGAAGAATAGAGTTTCCAATTGCATTTGAAGCACAACATTCAGTTACTAATGTTCCTCGTTCTGCAGATGTGATTCTTCCTACTTGTTTACTTCTTTTACCTGCTAACACTTTTACTGGCTTTTGTACCGTTGTTAAACCAGTTTCATCAACATTATATATGCAATAAGGATTTGTGCAGCATTGATTTATGCTAAACTTGCGAGCTACAACAATTACTGGTTTGCCCTCTAAAACTTCATTAACAGCTGCTTTCATTGTATCACATGATATAGGAGCTCTGTCTATTTTATTTTTTTCTATACCTAACCATTTTAAGATCTGAAAATTTTAAAAAAAAAAACTTTAAAATGAAATTACTGTTAAAAAAGAATAGAATTTTACTTTTTTATATATATATATATATATATATATATATATGGATGATGAACTATAAAATAAAAAAGAACCAGCTAAACTCTGCTAAATTTTTCCTTTTTACCCCATATACCATTATATCATGTGTTGATAAAATCTGAATTTAAATAGCCCAAATCTTTACTAATCATGATTCAACTGTTTGATCAGCCAACATTGGATCATTCTACTATTCAATATGCCAACTTTAGGTAATATAGTTTTATAAAGTCATTTTTTTTTTGTTAAAAGTCGTGGAATAGTGGAATAAATATCCACCAGTAAAAGTGATAATACAAAAGTGATTAGTGAAAAGACAATTGAATTTGTTAGATGTGATATTATTGATTTTCCTTTTACCAATAGAAATTCAACCACTTTCCCAATTGTTTATTATTTACACATCTTTATGTAAAAACGATTTCTAGTTTTTGAAAGTAGGAGTTTGGGTCCCAAGGGAAAAACTCCAGAAGAGGTTGTGCATCAGACAAATCTACTTTGTAGAAGTGTGACTTAATGAAAGTACCAAAAAAAACAGCATCTAATAACTTAATATTTGACCAAGTAATCCAAGTATAGTCTAATGGCTATATTTTCTTGTTCTTAAATGGATATTTATAATTTCATTGCAAAAACGGTTACAAAAATTCTAGTTTAAAAGGCCCATGCCATCAACAGTCTTGATTAACCAGTCTAAAAAGGCCATCGTCCTTCACTTTTTTTTCTAAAAATAAAAAGTGAAGGGTTTTGAGATTCTACGAACAAAATATTTTCTGTATCTGTTTTTTACAAAAAATCTTTTAATAAAAAGAAAATCAACACGGACTGGCTTATCTGGAGTGAAACTGCCGAAGTTTTTTCTTTATTTTCTTTGCCCTGATTTTGAAGAAAAACATAATTTTAGCCCTGGATTTCAGTCTTTCATCTTGAGGTGGAATAAAAGTGCGAATGAGCGAAAACTAGGAGAAAAGATTAATTTGCTACCAGCACTTTGCACTTTTTTTCCTAATTGATGATGTAATGATGTAAAAAAAGAGGAATTGATGAAACCCACCATCTAAATCATCTCAAGCAATCAAATACTTTTGAGCAAATAGAATCATTTTCTTAAATCAGGTTGCTCAACGGAATATTTGACTTCGATAAGTTTTCTAATGTTTTTGTATGCTTATAGTTGGTTTAGTATAGTTTTAGTATGATTTAGAATGATTTACAATTGTGTCTATAATAGTTGATTACCATTATAGACACAATTGTTAGATTATACTTCTTTATTTTTAAAATAAATCTTATTTATAAAATATTGTAAAAATTTAAATTAAATAATTCAACTTGATATCTTTACTCATTATTAAATTTTTTGTTTTTTTTTTGTTTTCTTTTCTAGTTTTTTTAATACTAAAATTTTATCCTAATGTTTAAAATAAGTAAAAGAAAGGAGTTATGCATGACTGAAACAGGAAGAATTCTTATTAACCACGAAGAAGACTAATTTGAAACTTGAATTTTAAAAACAATTAAAAACTCAAGGCGCTGTGTGTAAATGACATTACTTTGACAAAAGTGGTGCCTATCTAACATAACTAAAAAACTATAAGATAGATAAACAAAAAAAAAAATTTTTATCAAATAGAAGATACACCGTTAAAAAAATGAGATCTGTGTACAATCAGTTTAATGTTGTTAAGATAATCAATTCTACTTTTTAATTGACTGAAAACTTTTGGTTTTCATGGTTGTGTAGTTGTTTGTAAACCGTTATCAAGGCTGATTAATAAGACGAAATATTTAATTTAGCTAAAACACATGCACATCTATTAATTGAACAATGGAAACACGTTCTTTGGAAAGTTGAGAACAAATTCAAAGTATTTGATTCAAAACGTTATGTTTTTGTGCGCAGATATGCAGGAGAAAAACATCAGAGGAATGTTTACTGTAAGTGTTTTCAGTAAAACGTGTGGGTATATCTGTCCTTGTTTAGGAATAATTTGGTCAAAAAATACTTAGGAACATACACAAAATTAAAACAAAAAATGTCATTTTGGAGTATCATATACTTTCGTCTGGTGAAAGAATAATTTTAAATAATTATGTTTTTATGCTCTTCAAAGATCCAAAAAATTTCAGCAAAATCTGCAAAAGCTATTTGGAAGATCTTCAAAACCAACAAATACTAAATATAATGGAATTAAATACATTTACCAGTTCCTAATACCATTGATTTATTATGAAAAGAACTTGTGGAAAACGAAACTTGCGGAAAACGAAACTTGTGCGAAACGAACATTATTTTTAAATAATCTCTTGACGAACAAAATATTTTATCAAAAATGTGAGTTTAAAATTAGAAATTAGTGATAAAAAATATTTAATAATATTTTGTTCTAGTATACACAACAATTTCAGTACAAGTTATTCTCAAAAAGGTTTTAGTTATTAACTTTTCCCGAGCTCACTAAGATCTCTAACCATTTAATAATTTTTATTTGTTGTCAACAAAAAAACTGTATCTAAAAATCAAAGAAAAATTTTCAGTGTAAAACAGCCTTTCAATTATAAAATTTAAACTCATCGATAAAAGTAACTACAAAATTCCTACCCACTAGTTTATTAACTTTTCTCCCCTCCTTAGATTATTTTACAAAAATTCTAACCCACCCTTTTATTTCTATCCCACTTTGTATCAAGCACCTGAAAGTATATTTATATTACTAACTTGAAAGTATTTTGATGGAGTTTAAATTTGTAACAACTTCAAAAGTAAAGTTCTTTAAGAGTCTAATAATCTTTTAACGGATTTGGAGGACGTCTTATTGTTTGGATTACACGATTTGTTTGATTGATTTGATTGAACACATTTGTGTTATCTTTCTCATTTTAACATATTAAGCTTACTGAGACAATTTTTTTTGGTAGACATTATCACTGAAGAATACAGTTTGAAAAAAGTTTTTTATAAATGTGTTGAAATAAATATTATTATTATAATATAATTTTTAAGTAATTTTATATTACAAATATAGTATAAAAAGTAAAAGTAAAATAAATTTAAAGTAATTAAAATGTTTTTCAACATGTAGATAACTAAAAAAACATTTCTTACTGATTCAAAATGCCCTCTGAAAACTTAAAAAAGAATTTAGCGATAGGTTCAACCGGTAAAAAACATTTTGGATCGATGGCATGATCAACAAAAATAACCTCTTTAATTTTACCAGACTCAATTTGTTTTACTTGTTCGATGCATTCACTTGATATTATTTCTTTAAATAGTTTCATTTTATTTCTTATTTTTTTGTTTTTGTTTGATAACATGATTATAGTTTAAAATTAAAACTTTATTACTGCTTAAAACTTAATATTCACGTCAGAAACTTTTGAATGGAACAAAAATTTGTTCGCTAATCTGTTTATGCAAAATATTTATTTCAATTCACGTGATGCGCAGTTTGTTTTGTCAACAGCCAACTTAATTCTTAAAACGAGAAGTCAAGATTTTATTTTCAACTTCAATGGTATTACCCTTATAATCGTAATACAATCTTGGAAATAAAGAAGAAATTATCGTATAGATCTAATCCTGTAGATCTGTCGTATAGATATATATACATATACGATACGATAAAATAGTTTCTTTTTTATTTCCAAGATTGAATAAGATTGTATTAATAAGACGTTTTTTGAGAAATTTAGAGTTAGGGGCCATTCATATATTACGTACGCACCAAGAGGGTGGGGGGGGGGTGCAGGCACGGATCTAGGGTATAGCCTTTGTGGCTAAGGCTACACCTTAAAATAATCAATGAAATAAAAAAAAATATAATATTTCAACATATTTTCAAAATAAAATTATTATAAATAATTAAGATAAGTTAATATATATTTGCTGTGTAAAACCGGCTTTAAAAACAATTATTTAAAACAAAAAAATAAAATAAAATAAAATAAAAGATCGGTCATTGCATATCAGTTATTGGCTAAGCCACAAACAACCTGATTTTACGACATAGGTTGACTATATTATGGTTTTTTTTTATAGTAATATATTATTATTGTAAACTCGTATGCCGTCAACACTGATCGCCCGTGTCTAAATTGTTTTTTGCCTGGTGGCTGTACTTATTTCCCAGTCTTTTTGTACCCTTTTATATTCAAATAACCCAAGCGCCTTTATTATTTTCTTAGTAAGTTATTAATTATTGCGGATATGTTTTGAAGGAATACTGTTCCAAATGCTATTCATACTTCTCACATTCAAAACAAAAAATATTGCAAAAAAAATTGTTTACAAAAATAAATGACTTAAATATCTCACCAGTTGATAAGCTTTTGGCTAGAAGTTGCCATGATATGAATGTTTTTATACTATCTTTTAAAATGGATCAAGATTTTATACCTTAAAGGTATATTTTTTAACTATGTTTTCACGAACTATATTTATTATAAAAAGATAACATGTTTTTTATAACTATAACAATACATACAACTGTTTCTCTGCTTGTTGTTATAACATTCTTATAAAATTTAATTTTTACATTCTTATTTTATTCAACAGGTTAATACTATTAATAAAAGTTTTGCCACAGAGCTGTTTAAATAGCGGACGTGTATTTCAGGCACCCCCTTTAGAAAGTCCGTAAAAAACGAGTCACGTTTTAAGCATAACATTTATTGAAAATTATACTCCATTTTTGAACCCCAAAATAAAATTTATTTTAATAAAAACCATACCCAAACCAAACCCAAGCTAAACCTAAATCAAACCCAGAGCCTAACCCTAAGTTTCAGGTTTGGGTTTTGGTTAGGATATGGTTTTTAACAATACTCGTTTTGTATAAGCGTTTTTACGGACTTACTAAAGGGCACCTCCCTTTAGTAAGTCCGTAAAAATACACCCTGAAATACACGTCCACCGTTTATACAATTTCTGTTTTCATTTGCTATAAATGTAAACAATTAAAATATTACATTTTTATTTCTTGAAAAACATTTAATCTTCAAATTTAAGCTTCTATTAAAGAGGATTTTATTGAGGATTCCATTGTCCGTAGAACAACTATAATACAATTTAGGAAATTTGAAATCAGCCCCTAAAAATGCCACATATATTTTTGAAAACACACAAAATCAACTTATAGAGTGATAGATGTTTTTGTTATTAGGTATATAGACAGTAACTATAACACTTGTGAAAATTTTTCAAGGTTTCTTGACTGTTCTTAATTATTTAAATGTGCCCTTTGTCCAAAATTACAGAAATGTTAAACTAGTTATCTTTTTGTTGGTCTAACAAAACTAATCAATGTCTGTTGTACTTGTTGGGTTCAAAAACGAAATAGTCTGAGCATTTTTTTCAGCAAAAGACTCTTTATAGTTGATGACTGAATCAACTTTTATGACTGAATCAAAATTTTCTTTCAATTTAACATTAATTTTAACAAAATTTTGTTGGATTTAATTTTTTAGATTACAATTAGACTCCAATATAAGCAATATGATATATCTCAAATTTCAGAGTCTTGAAGTTGACAACTGAAAAATAAAAACTTTTATAAATTAAATTTGGTATTGATTTATATCACTACAACTGGTTTAATATTGCTTTTGAATTAGCTATGGCTTTAAATTTAAAATAACTAAGGCTTAAAAACAAAACATTTAGATTGACGCCTATTAAGAATGGAAAAGAATTTAGAAATGGAAAGCTAATCTTTGGCAGCATTACAACTTACATTTGAGGTGCAAAGTCTTATAGCTTACCTTTTAGTCGGTGCACTTTGTTAAGTAAAATACAAAAAGTGTAGACATATATTTATACACCGCAGAAGATGTTCAACCCTTAAATTTAATTCGATCAGATAAAAAAATGTCTGGCAGCGTCTACATGACGTAATTATCGGACCTCTTTTTGATGCAGACTAACCGACTTATTAAATAGTTGCGATTATGACTTAATTTCACAAATTTTAGCTACACCTATGAAATCCTAGATCCGCCCCTGGGGTGTCCCAAGTTGAATAGTTTGCGTGCGAGTGTGTGTGGAGGGGGAAGGCCTACCAAAAAAAAAAATGAGGTGGCACGACGAGGAGGGGGTGTCAAAGTCTGGAGATTTATGCGTACGTAACATATGGATGGCCCCTTACTGTTTAGTAACCTGATATTTATTAAACAAAATATAACTTAAAGACGTATCTTAAAGTAACTTAAAGTCTTTATTTTTAAAGATTTTCAATGGAAATTTTTTTGTTAACGTCTATTTTTACCGTGAAGATGCAAGCAAATTATATACCCTAATATAAAAAAGCGTAACGCGTTTGTGATTTCAGAAATTACTATACTATATATTTCCCTTTAACACCCGGCAATAAATTACAGCTAAAATAAATTATAATAAAATAGTTACCAATTAAATTAAAATCAGCTAAAACGACACAGTTCTCGCAGTTGTTAGCATTAAATGCTTATAACCAACCGGTGTGTTTTCCACAAATTATTAAATCTGATTTCTTGGAACATTCTCCTCCATCAAAGTTTTAAACGACTCTCTCTTTTCTTTTAAATTCCAAAACTGGGACGTTTCTTTCAATATTGACACAACATCGGCTTGCATGTCTTTGATAGGTTGCGTGAATTTAATTTTTTTGCCATTTATCATGCACTGGACAAAGTTTAAACCAAGTGTGTTGCAGGCTTCAAACACTTCATTTATAAGGAATATTTTATTATGTATATCCTGTAATTAATTGATTATCAATCAATAGTAAATTTGATTTTTTAACAGCCTGGTAAAAATATATACTTTGTTCCCTCGCAGAGTAGTTGAAATACTCTCGAATTTAAAAAAACGAGTGTAAGTAATTTTTACTGTACTTCGAGATACAGAAAAATGGTTTTAAAACAGTTCTTCCAACAGCGTTTATTTTGCTAAGAAAACTAATATCATATTTGCATAGCTCAAGACTATATACAAGCTTCGGCACAGTTAAGCTATTGTACGAACGGACTATTGTTGACGGCTGGCAGTAACGAATCCGACTATCGATTAGAGCTAATGCTCTAACCGATTGAAACTGATATATACGATCATTTAAATTTTTTTTGGAGTGTTGCAATTTTATTTTTGCTAGTATCGTTATCTGATTGGAAACCCCGATGTTTTGATTTATTTTGAGGGTATATATAAGCTCCGTTGATTTGAATGACGTTGTTGAAAATGTTGCTTTTTCCAGAAATCAGAAATTCCGTTTTCTCAGTGTTTAGCTTGATAAAGTTTGCTACTCCGCATGTTTAAAATCTGTTAATTGTTTCTTACAGACCAGAGATTGTAGGACTTAGCAAAATTATATCATCCGCGTATCATCATCATCCAGTATAAATGCCAATTTGTTTTTTATCCTACTTTTCATTCTGAGACTATTTCCTTGAGAATTCTTTCATTATAGATGTTATATAAATGTGGTGGTAGAAAATACCCTTGTCGCACCCCTTAGGACAGATTGAGTTGTTTTGAGGTAACTCCTTGATAGGATATGTTTGCAGTACCAGAAAGATAAAGCGATGAAATTGCATGTACTACAGAAAGATAAAGCAATGAGATTGTGTGTACTACAGACAACGGAAGTTTTTTTGGAAATAGAGCTTTTCAAATAGTAAATCTCAGTTGCAAGTATCAAAAGCTTCTTATTTGCATCTAAACTGCACATAAATAAAGGCGTGTCATTGTTTTTACAATACTTAACAGTTTCACTCAACAAAATTTGTGTTTCGCTCAATAAAATCTGTGTTTCGCTCAAAAAAATCTGTGTGGAGTGTAGAGCTGTTTTTTTTTAAAACCAAGTTGATGAGGACAGCTATCTGTTATATTAGGACATATAAGTGTAGTACAGTAAAATCTCACTAATTCAAATCTCCCTAATTCGATAATTATAAATATATATATATATATATATATATATATATATATATATATATATATATATATATATATATATATATATATATATATATATATATATATATATATATATATATATATATATATATTGTATATACTTTGTGTATTTATATATATATATATATATATATATATAATATATATATATATATATATTTTAAAAATATATATATTCATTGTATATATTTTATAAATATATATATATATATATATATATATATACATATAAATATATTTATATATATATATACATATATATATATATTTATATATATATATATATATATATATATATATATATATATATAAATATATATATATATTGTATGTATTTTGTATATATATATATATATATATATATATATATATATATATATATATATATATATATATATATATATATATATATATATATATATGTATATATATATATATA